CATCCCCTTGCTGTCGTGGCAATGTTTCATATCTATTTACATCTGATATGTTCAGAAAGTAAGTCAAGCTGGTGAAGGTGCCTACTGTGTGGTTGGAGCTCCACAGCTAGCTTAGCACATTTACATAGTGCCGAATAAATGCTTGTGGAATCACTGAAGGATGATACACAACAGGTGAAATAGTTAAGAGGGAACTGAATGAGTTAGCTAGGGTATTCAGCCTCAGAGTTCATGAAAAAGGCTTGGATATGCTTCAGTTTATGCTTATCTTGAAGAATAAACTATTTTTTTTCTTGCAAATAATTTATACCTCTTAATGAAAAAGGAAATGGGTTTGTAAAGAACCTCCTTTGTGGTTCTAACACGGAAATTGCCAGTATCACCAAGATTTCTACAGTTCATAGTATCAGGCATATGAATACTAGGCCAACAGCAATCATTCTAAATTGGTCAACACAAATGAACTAGCAACGTGGGAGCCATGTGGGATGTTCTCACATTTAAAGAATACATTTAAAGTAACAAAGTCTTCCTTGGGACCTTGACCTAATGTGGCATACCCATTATCTAAACTGACCATCTATTTGGGGCAGACTACGTCTCTTTGAAATGAATTATCTGAAAGCAATTCCCTCCTCTGGAGTCTAATAACACGTTATTAACTCCTTTGAGGCACCTTTGAAGTACAAATGTGTCATCACACATATAACAGTATAACATCATTTCTGTTTACAGTAAACACAGAGAAAATGAAAGCTACCATCTCAGAAGTACATCCAAACCATATGAACCTAAGACTTTACTTTCAGGGACCCCTGTCACTCATGAGGCTATGTCACATGTCAGCAGCAGACCTGGCTCTACACCTCTGCCTTCAGTCTCTGTAGGTTGTTGCATAGTCCCTGGCCTTGACAAAGTCATTCAAAATGGCTGGGCCTCAGTTTTCCCAATGACAGGGTTGGACCAGATACAGATGTGAAAATAAATACAATTTAAAAGCTGTTGGAACCCCCAAAACACTTCAAGCCTTGAGAGAGATATGGCTGTGATCTGAGTCATACAGCATGCTTTGCAATTCTACTTCTTAGATTATAGCTTAACTCTCTTCCTCACTGTTTTTGTTCTGTAAATGACTGCGAGACCAGAGATCGGACCTCTACCTTCCAATCACAAATCTTTGTTAGAAATTAACTGCCTTCTTTATTGTCCTGACCTATCTCCTGACCTAACTCAGACTAGATGGTTCCCTGAACAGGGACTCCATGACAGTTACATCTGCAGTAACTGCAATGGAATGTTAAATGTACCTTTCTCAAAAGAGAAGGACCATCTGAACTAATCAGGTCATTGTGACTACGTATTAAGCCTTACACAGAAAGATGCTGAAATTCTGCTAAAATTCCCCAGGCTTTGTCTACATAAGCAATCTCAGACTTCTATGCTTTGTAACACTGACTTCCATTGTTAGGAATCTGTGCTTCTTGAGTGGGCTTGTCCTCAACTTTTGCATTTAAACTCTCTTTAATCTAGATTCTGACCCTTTTCATTTTTTAGGTTGAATAGAGTACCTGAGAGGCCCTGTAGGTGGCTAGGGCTACACTGTCTTCCCAGTGTTTTCATCTATTTCCTCTATTGAAGTTCTGGTGGACAAACACAAAAAACAAAAAGCAAGATGATTTTAAAGGCACTTGATGATTCAATTGTTCTTAGGATGAAAAAAATAGCTTAAGAATTATCTTAAATATTTTCCTGGGACAAAACTAGGAAAAAAGTTAAAACTATCCATATAGGCGGGTTTTCTCCCACCTCCCTTTTTAATACCCAGGAATGTACTGGCTAAAATATTCCCAGCAATTCATGTACAACTCTAGAGGGCACCATTCATAACAAAGACAATGTCAATGGTGTTTCCTGGAGCATGTCACTCAGTGGCCTTAAGGAGCCAATGAGTGGGCCTGCACTGGCATCTTATCTCTACTACTTACTAGTTATATGACCCTTGGCAAGCTATTTGATCTCTCTGATTCTGTTTCCTTCTCTATAAAATGGAGTTGATAAAGTATATTTCCAAAGTCTGCTATAAAAATTAAATTAGATAACATGTGTACAGAATCTGGTGTTAGGCAGCATACTAACACCTATATTAGTTCTTTAAAATCATAAAACTATCCTATTTCATGGTATAAGAAACAATTGTATCTAGGACTTGTGGCCTATACTATAGGGAGAGACCAAAAGATACTGAGAAATTGGCAACAGATTTCATATCCTAAAGATGTGGAAGATATCTGAAAGTTAAAGAGGTCAGAATGTAGTGGCCCCAGAAGCACCGAATTTTGAAGTCTCAGAAGTGTGATAACTGGCAGAAAAGAAGACTAATCAGCATACTAATTTATTAGGGTATCTTGGCACAACTATTATCAAGGATAAACAACTGTTTAAGACATGCTGCATTCATTAAGGTTATATGTGCTGCCAACGAATTACTATATGCTTAATTTAAACCTTTTTGTGCCTTCCTTAGTAATCCAGGACTTGTCAATATTTAATTGCACTAAATCTTTAATTGATTCTTTAGATAAGAAGCAATTACCCTACACAATAAAACTATAATTTAGGAATTACAGACTTTCAAAATGATGGAACTGAGATTTTATATAGCATCTGGTCTAACCTCTACACGTGACACCTGGGAAAACTGAAGTCTAGAGCAGCTGAGAGACACCTACAGTCACACAAGGCAAAGGCATTTCTGGCACTTGGTTTCATTAACTTATTGTAATTTTTTCTTACTACAGGAAACCCTTATTTGGCTTGCCTAAATACACATACCAACAATTTAACATTGGACATATGAGTTCCCATCTCAACTCTGCATGATTTGGGGTTCACAAGACAATGAAAGAAAGCTGAAGGGCTGGGTCAATGATGGACAAAAGCAGTGTGGTGGGGCTGTGTGGGAAGGTCTGAGGATATTCAGGAAGGCAAAGGAAGAATAAATTAGAGATCTATCGGTCTGGGATTTGAGTAGTGGCAATTAGGGTCTATTAAGGGACCAAATATAGAACTATTCTCTATCTTCAGGACGTAGCACAGTGACTGGCATGTAGTAGGTTCTTAGTCCTCATTTACTGTATGACTGGATAATGAACAGTAATTGAATGAATGAAAGAAAAAGCCTGTTCCTAGAGAAGAAATGAGACCTTTAGGGGTAACAGAGCAGGGAGACTGCCTAGGACAGTCTGTTAAGGGAGGAAGAGGAAGAGTCAGCAAAGCTATCCCTAACCTTAGCATGACGGAGGTACCTCGTTTCCCTTGCAAGGACAGTAAGTGTGTGGCCCTTTTGCTTCCATCCACATTTCCATTCTGAGGAAGTGCAGTAGTTTCTATGGCACTGGGTCTATTTCTAGCCACACTGCCCAGGATGGAACATGAGGAAGTGGAATGCTTGAGGGGAATGTTTCTCCAAGAGCAACAGAAATTTCAAATCCATAACGCCACATTATTTTGAGAAGAGAGTCTGTGCTTACATGCTAGCCATGCAAGCTACTGACCATATGGACATGGATGAGAAAAATGCTTCATAGCAGGAACTGAAGATTAAGAAACAAATGTGATTCTAGGCTAGCAGAGCAAACTCCACCTAACGAAGAATGAGGGAAACCTGGGATTTCCTGGCCAACTCTTCATTCACTGAAAATGTGGCCATCTGTGGTCCTAAGCCTGGTGTGCTTCAACCTTCTGCCAAGTCTGTTACGGCTAGACTTTCAAAGCAGGAGTCATTTTAAGAGCACTGGTGGCACAGACATGATACAGAGCTATATCTCACTATATTTTCCAAATAGGTCAGTGTTTGAAATTCCCTTTCCTTTAAACATCTATGTCTAATATTTTTCGCTTTTGTACCATAGGATGTGGCCCCTTGAAAAAATATACACCATTCATCACCTCTTGCATTTTCCTGGCATTAAACAGAGAAATTATAATAAAATAAGCTGCATAAATACCTAAGAAAGGCCTTTCAAGGTTCTTATGATGTAAGCAACTTCCTACTTAAAAGGAATGCCAACACCTCAGTGGATAATACCAAAGAATTGGATACTAACTGTTCTATATAACTTCTAGTAACTAATGGCAAAATGACAGTATGTGTGTCAGTTGCTAGGACAGAGTAATGGATTCTGCTGTATGTTCATATGAAACATATATACAGCCCAAGGAGAAGATGTGATGTATTTAATGTGATCTTCACTTAACATTTGATTAAGGCAAAGCTGGTGCATTTTTTAAAACAGTCTTTCAAAACCAAGGGAATAGATCAGTGAAAAGACCAATGATATAAACACTCTTCCCCAACTCACAGAGCTGTCGAGACTTTTACATTTTTTGCACAGTTTCAATTCTCTAAAAAGAAATGCCACCTAAAAAATGTGCTAAGCACCCTCTAAACATTTCTCATTATGTTGCCAGTGCTGGTACTCACCCCTTTACAGTGGCTTACTATACTCATCTTAACTCAGCTCTGTATGCCATTCAGGGAATAAACACAAGTTGCTATTTGAAAGAAAGGGGAAGCATCTGTTGGAATTTTTATATTAATATTTGTAAAACATCTTGAGAGAAAATAGGAAAAGGCAACCCAGAAAATAGTGTTCTGCAATGAAATTATAGAAAAGGTAGTAAAGAAACCAAACTAAAAGATTTTTCTAATAAAGGAACAGTTTTGTTCTCATTATACAAATAATCTTAGCTAAGTGAAGGTAAGAACTAGAAGGCTAATTCTAAAACAGACCAGCTTTTGGACAAGAGTGAAAACATACCTTTGTGTCTAAATTTATCATACAATAAACTCCCTGGAATGGTTCTCGTGCTGTCTAGCTCTAAGCATATTGATTCTTCTCTTGTTTTTGTCTTTAATTACGCTGCTGAACTCCTAACTTCTTAAGTAAAAGTGAGCCTAAAGAAACAGGGTGACTAAGGTCACACAAATGTCCACTCACCTCCCATAATTTTGGATTGGCAGTTAATAAACTCCGGCTTCCTGTCCGTGAGGTACCTCTGGCAGGTATGGTGGAGGATCTGGAAGAAGGTGCATTTTTCTGACGCTGTGCTGGCTACCCATTGGTCAAAAGCATTTTCAAACAACAAATCAAACTCTGCCGAATCCTGGAAAAGACAATGAAATAACTACTCATCTCAATCTAGAAAAACTGCTGTTTCTAGATTACTCCTGTCAAAAGATTTATAAAGGCTAAAACAAAGACTTTGATCGCAATCATAAGGCTCATCTTTATCCAAGTGTATGGAGAGTCTGCGTTTCTCTGTTTATGAAGCAAACCCCAAATCTTACAGTATTGATACACGTTCCTAGGAAACTAGTATCACACAAGTTGAGATAGCCTAACTAAACACTGATAAATGTCAGAATTCAGATCATGTATTATCTTCCCAATTTCCTGGAAAAGGGATTCCTTTAGGTTCTCAGCAATGACCTATATTAATCTGGCCCCTAAACTTTGGTAGGAAGATTCCCTCTCGCTATTTTAGTCTGTAGTAACAATTTATATTTTATTATTCTTCATTATTAGCATTTTGTGAGGTGTGTGTGAGAGCAACGGGAATGTACTTTGAATAGATAACTATGTCAGAAAATGTTTCTCCGATTAAAAGCAAGGGAATCACAATACATACTGAAAGACACCATTCATTTACTTCATACTGAACTTTGTACTTGCTGATCAATGTTACCGGAGATCACATATCTTCAATATGCATTCTCTTAGGTTCCTCTATTAAACATGATGAAAAGATTTATAATTTCACTTAAGAAAGGACTATGTATCCAAAAGTTTTAATCCCATAATTGAAATAGAGAAATAGCCTTCTTAAGAGTGATTCAAACCACCACCACCACTACCAAGGTCAATCAGAGAGTCATCTTGTGAAAAGAATGCCTTTGCTCAGCATCGGACAATTCACTCACCCCATTAGGATCGATACCATTAACCTGGCGAAGCTGCTCGAGCATCCACTGTGATCTCCGAACAAATGATGTGGAGCCTTCAAACTGTTTGACCTTTGTAATGGACGCCTGTGTGGGTTTCTTGTTTGTCACTGCCAAGAAAAGATCACTCAGATTAGTGCACCTGCAAGTTGGTGGTTTGTTTCCACATTCAGTGCTGTTTCTACATGACACCTACTGTGTATATGCACAATAACAGAGAGAAGGCGGAGGGGGAAAGGAGGGAATATGAATAAGTATGTGTGCCTTTGGTCAGGGGTGAACGTAAAGGAAATAGATGTTATAATCTTCACTCTGAAGCAGTTTACAATATAATTGTAATTGTAAGGGCTGCTTCATTTATGTCTTTATCCATTCAAACTGAAAATGACTTAAGTGAATAACACCAAGCACCTTCAATGGAGGCTACAAGTGCACAATTACAGCTTGCAGGAAAAGAAGCATACAGTACTGACAGGCATCAGGTAGGGTTCACTGGGAAAGGTTGAATTTTAAAGGAAATGAAGGTAATTGGCTCCCCTAGAGAACTGCAAAGTATATTTCTAGTTTTATAGTCCAGTGTAAACATCTTAGGCTTCAGTGATGAGGAGTAATACCTCACTCAAAAAATTCCCAAACTATTTGGCTCTCTAATATTGTTCAGTTTGTATCTAGTTTACATTTAATTATGATTGAATCTGGTGTTCTGGGCACACCTCCACACCTGTAGGAAAAGGACAGTTTCTCCTCTCAGCCTTAGCGAGTTCTCCCCCTAAGCCTTTCTGTGCTAAAGACAGACAGCATCACCTCTCAGACTGATGTCACGCATCAGGCACTAGGAGAGGCACTCTGAATATTTCTACACCTACCTACTTTGTGACTTGGAGACTCAAGGGTAGGAAGTAATTAATGGTCTTTAAAGGGATTTCCTAAAAGCTTCTCCTGAACCCTGGCTGTAGGAATTAGCAAATTAAATAGAAAGGAACTACGGAAAGTAGAAATCATTATTGGCTATAATGAAGATGATCCTAATTACTGACTTGCTGAAGACTATGCATCTGCAGCATATTCGTTCCTTGTTTCAAATCACCCGACAGATTCCACACTTTCCAATAACTATGCAGATGCTCAACAGATGGCAAAAAGAATTCTTAAGGGATGAAGGACAGAAAGCACCTACTCCAATCACTATTGGTGAGCAGGAAGACTCTACAGTTCATGCATTCCATAGCTTATTGCAGCTCATTGTCTGTGGTCATTAAAGCAGGAGAGCAGAGACAAAGGAAAGGTGGCCACTGCCTTTAGATCTAGTGAGAACCCTACTTTCCCAGTACTGAAGACCACCTTTATGGCCTGAGTACTATCTACTCTCTCTGCTTCCAACCATAATTTAGTGAAGATTTGTTTTTAACTTCAAATAATGTTTCGGTTTATCACCCATTATTTCAGTTAGATTTGCTAAAAACTTCTGAATATTTCATACCAATTACATTTACTTTTATGATTAAAAAGTCATCATCCCCTTAACACCCACAATCAGATGAATTTTTACAGTCTTCTGTTCACAAAGAGGAACAACCATTCCCTCTAACTGAATTCAGGCAGTATTACCAGTCTGCCTAGGACTCTGTCTATCCATTTAATTTGATTCATTTATTTTTTGTGTCTCCTATGACACAAATGGGAGACCTAATAGGTTTCTCTGATGACTGTGATCTGCTCTTACGTTTTAATGTTAAAGAAAACAATACACCTGGAATACAGACAGGTCTTAAAATGTGCTTAAAAGATTAAAGAAGGCTTTTCAATAACAGGAAAACATGGGTTCCTGTATTAGACACACACCCCTAAACACACAAAGAGAATTTCCTCCTGTGTTTATGTAAATCATACAACATTTAAGCCTGAGCAACATGAAGGCTTTCTTTCTAACTTTAAAGTTGTTATGAGCTCCTATTTTTACTTCTGGCCCATTTGTTTCCAAGTAATTTACAGCATTTTAAAAGCTTAAACACAACTCGAGATCACTGTATATTGCGGGCATGTTTTAAGATTCCCATCTAAGGAAGGTAAGTTCCACTGAAAGCTTGTCATTGAAATGAGGCATGCAGGAACCCCAACTATTATGACAAATGACCCCATGGAATTCCTCCACAGTGATCACACTGCAGAGCAGTCTTTTTTAATGGAGGCAGTTGTAAGTCTATCCATTCCTGCCTTTTCTCCCCCATTAGTTTACTCCTCGCCCAGTTCTTGGAGTCTGGCTAGTTTTCCTGGGCGCTGAGCCCGGTTTGGTTTAATTTTTGTTTATGGTTATTATCTCCAGCATCCTAGTTTCTATTTTGAAGCAGGTGTCTTAAAATTATATTATTATATACACATTGTATAGAGGTAAATTAAGACGTTCCCCTTCTGAAATCAAAACACTTGCACACACACACCCCATTGCCAGACTTTTTGAGTACGTACTTGAAGAAAACATGTTTTAACTATTTCATGTTTTGTTGTTTTGGGGGTCAAGAGCTGATTAAAAAAACATGCCAGTCACACAAAATCCAGATGTCTAGTGAAAAACAGTGATTTACCTTCTCCTTCCAAAGGAAAGCTAATTGACAGCACACCCTGGAAAATGCGACCAAATTATCTGGATCAGTAATATCATAGAGCTGCACGCTAGAGGTTCCCAAAGTCATTATTTTGGATAACTTTAAAGGTCAGATAACCAGGGAATTTCTGTTATGCCTTCAACATTCACAAGGAAGAGACCAACACAGAAGCATTTAAAGGAACATTGTGGGCATGACTTCCAAGTAATACTGCAGACCACTCAGAAGTAGCCGATTCTCCAACTTCCTGCACTGGTATTGGAGGCAGGCAGAAGCATGGGGGCAACCAAATTCAGGCCGCTTTGCTGTTAGCTCTGAAAAAACAACATGGTTTTCATAGCTCATGCCTCCTCTTTGGCTTTCGTGTAGACTTGCTACTACATTTCAGCTTTGGTTAAGAAGCAGTGACACAAACTATTACGTCCCGAATATCCAGAATATCACTGCCATCACTACTCAAGTGGAGTAACATCTCTGTCTCATGAACGAATGGTCTAAAGAGCTCTTTTTAAAAATGGCCCTTCCATGAGACATTTTATAAAAGCAAAATTCAAAAACTTGCTATACTCAAATGGTGGAGACCAGTGACCTTGCCTGTGCCCAATATGAAAATTCTATTTAATTAAAAACCCATAAGCCAGTCAATAACAAAGACCATGTCATATCAAACTTGGTCTTGCAACAAGTCAGAAAAGTAGAACTGGTAGAAGAGGGAACAAAGACCAATGAGGAAAGACAGAAAGACAAGTCACTTGTGTGTTATGTGAAATGGGAGAAGAGCTCATACCCGGCCAAGATTCAGAGGCAGACCGCCTGTTTCAAGGTCCAGTGGCTGAAAGACCACTTTTTCCAAAAAGCCATACTCTTACACCTACACTCTCATTATTCACAGCATAATCCCCCAACTATTCCAAAAAGGAAAACCAGTTTGGCCTAAGAAACAAATTATCTATTTAAAATAAATAGCATAATCCCTCAACTATTCCAAAAAGGAAAACCAGTTTGGCCTAAGAGATAAATTATCTATTTAAAATAAATAGCCTTAAAATATTATTTTAAAGGAAACAATCAGTATATACCACTTCTACATCCTCAGCCATCTCATATTTGAGATAGCTGAATAACATCTTCTTACACATCTTTATATATTTACTATACATATTGAACCTGAATTATTTTATAACTTTATGTGGCCATTTCTCAAAAAGTAAAAAAGAAAGAAAAAAAGAAAAGTGGTGAAAGAAAAACAGATTGCACCCCCAAAAGCTATAGTTTTGATGCTTAGGGTAGCTAAAAATAAATATCCTTAAAATATTATTTTAAAGGAAACAATCAGTATATACCATCTCTACATCCTCAACTAGCTCATATTCGAGATAGCTGAATAACATCTTTTTACACATTTTTATACATTTACTATACACATTGAACTTGAATTACTTCATAACTTTATGTAGCCATTTCTCAAAAAGAAAGGAAAGAAAGAAAGAAAGAGAAAGAAAAGGAGCAAAAGAAAAACAAATTCCACCCCCAAGAGCTATAGTTTGATGTTCAGGGTGGTGAAAAAGCAGAATTTACCACACCTACATACCTAAGATGCCTTAAACTTTCATCACGCCCAGCCTATTTTGACCTTACAGTTAAGCGAAGGTCCGTGTTTTGTGGTATGCTTCAGCTCTCTGCTCTGCTGGAGTCTAACCACCAGACATTTTGATTTCAACAAGAGTGCTGATGAAAAATAAATAATCTGGAGGCAAAAAAAGGCAGTATTCACACAGAATCTTATCAGGGCTGCTGTGTGACTGTGCCAGAGGTGACTAAGGGAAAAGGAAAAAGCAAGCTTCTGAAATGAGGGTTCAGGAAGTAACTGAGTGTGGCTTCTTGGTGCTGCTGTGGTGACAGAACAGGCTGTGTGGCCAAGGTGAGAAATAATTATTTGAAGCTAGTTTCCTTACTGCTCTTCCAAAGCTCTAATGTATGATAATTCTAGGTGGATTTCACAATATCCATGAGAAACAAATATCAGGTCTGAGGCTGCTGCGTCAGCAATTCTATCAGGCAAGATGGCTGAATGTTTATAAAGCATAAAAGCAAAAATATCTAGTTTGTTACCTTAAATGCTTTCAGAACAGGGAAACATCCTCCCTGTTGTAGTTAGTGGGAAATGGAGCATGGTGCTCTCCACACAGGACTGATCTTTCGCTTCTCATACTATTTCTCAGTGTGTTATAATTTGGGGACATAACAAATGTTTAGACCCTGCAGGCTATGTAACCCAGAGTTGCAAACCAGACCAACTTTTGAAATGGTCAAAAGTTTGTCTCTGGGGCCCTCCCTTCTCCTTCTGTTTCTTCCTTCCCATCTTAGAATCTGGCTCTCTGGCCAGATTCCCAATTGGACCCAAAGGGGTCTGACATGGGATTCTTAAATCTGCACGTTTTTTGTTCTGTTTTGTTTTCAAGACAGGTCCTGCTCTGTTGCCTATGCTGGAGTGCAGCAGTTGCAGT